TGATGCACAGAAGTTTTTAATTGTGAGAAAGTATAATTGATCTTTTTTCTTTTGTTGCTGTGCTTTTAGTGCCATATCTAATTAATCTATTGCCAAATCCAAGGTCATGAAGATTTATTCCTAAATTTTCTTCTAAGAGTTTCATAGTTTTAACTGCTGGATTTAAATCTTTGATCCATTTTGAGTTAATTTTTGTATATGGTTGAGGTAGATCCCAACGTCATTCTTTTGCATGTAGATATCCAGTTTCCCAGCAGCATTTGTTGAAGAGATGATTCTTTCCCCATTGAATGGTCTCAGCCCTTGTTACTAATCAACTGAACATAGTTATTGAGTTTATTTCTGTTCTCTCGGTTCTGTAAGACTGTCCTTATGGCAAAATAATATTTTTAATATGTAAATTTATCATTTCACTTCCTTATTTAAAACCTTCCAATGGATTTGATTTGCACTTGGAATAAAATTTAAATTCCATGCCTAGCTTACAGAGCTCTAGATAATTTGGCCCCTGCCTACCTGCCTACCTTGGCTTCAGTCACAGTGGCCCAATTTCTAGTCTTTAAATTTGCCAAGTTTGTGCTTTTCTTACCCTCACTGAACTACTGCTTCCTGTCAAGAATCCTCTTCTGCCTGACCCCCACATAGCAATCTTCTTCTTGTCATTCAGATTGCCACTGAAATGTCTCTTACTCAGATACTATTTTACACCCACTATAGAGGCAACTCAGTCCTCTTTAACATGTTATCCTATTTTCCTTCATAGCACTTACTACTTATTTAATGCATTTATTGTTTTCTCCCACTGCTAGAGCATAAATCTCATGAGAAGAGGGACCTTCTCTGTCTTGTTCACTTGTCCCCCATATCCTACAGAGCACCTAGCTCATAGCAGCCACTCAATAAAACGCATTTGTTTAAATAAAACTACCCAATCCCATTAGTTGGTGCTCTGCTTCCTCTAGTGGCCATTTGTTGAATAGCATTTTCTGAGAGCCGGTTGCTCAAACGGAGCTGGGCTGATAATGAACAAGTGAAATTGCTGCACAGTGTACACCATACAGAGATCACACGAGTCCACTTTCTTTATGTGAATTTTATCTGGAATTATCTGTCCTTTAAACATGGTTCCATGTTCTCAGGTTATTCTTACTATTGCTAAATTCTTCCTTATGTTCATCCATTGATATGAAGAATAGATCAATGGTAAGTTCTTGTGTTCAGAATCATCACAATCATTCAAAATTTCCTTTATGTGAAACTTCAGATGTTAGTTACAATACTGGTTACTATTAAAATTACACTGAAATAGTGGAGTAGACTAAAATCAGGGCACACAGAGATAAACCCATATCTCCTAAAGCTTGAACAGAGCTTGTTCTGTTCTTTTTTTGTATCACTTTTGGAGAGCGAGGTGTTGCTATGATCACTGAAGTGACCCTAAAAGATCAGGAAAAAAAGCAATGCCAAAAATTAACTAGGGAGGGATTTGAGAAAAAGCAGGGCAAAGCCAAAGTTGAACAGAATATATGAAACAATGAAATTAAGAGTGATAAAGGCACAGAATGCCATGGTAGGAGTGTGAAAAAGGAGACCGTTCCCCATCCCCACCCCATATTCCTTCACTGTATGCACACATATATACATATACATATATTCAATGAGGCCATATGGTTTTATATGTTCACCGACTTTAAAATTATTTGTTAATTTATTAATGAATATTTAACATTAATTCTTCTAGTGGTTGTCAACATAATTCTAAATAATATGCTTTTTATTTTTAGATGTATTAGTTTTGCATAGTATTCAATGCACCTCCAGTATATTTCTATTGCTTTTTAAATTAGTTTTAAATTTAAGCCAGAGGATGAGAAAGCACATTGATTCCCAATCATATAGATCAGTCTCTGCCTAACCAATGTGACTGTATTTGGAGATAGAGACTTTAGGAGGTACTTAAGCCTAAATGAGGTTTGTAAGAGTGGGGTGGATCCTAATCTGATAGAGCTGGTGCCCTTATAAGAAAAAGATACCAGATCTCTCCACTAGGGAATGTAGCAGTCTGCAAGCCAGGAAGAGTCCTCACCAGAATTGAATCAGCCAGCATTTTAATCATGGATTTCCGAGCCTCCAGAACTGTGAGAAAATAACTTTGTTGTTTTTTAAGCCTCTTAGTGTATGGTATTTTGTTATGGTAGCCCAAGCAAACTAGACAGTTAGGAAGAGATGCACAAAGTAGGCTTAATAGCCAGTAGGAGCTGACTGCAGCACACCACAACTAAGAGAACAGTATGTATTTCCCTAAATCTTGAGCATAAGCATCCAGAGACAGCTGGACAGAAATGATGCAGAAAATCAGATTGGGCAGGATAATCAAATGGCTTGGATGACATGTTAAAAAGCTGGGATTTTATCCTGCAGGGGGTAGGTCTGAGGCAGAAGAGAGATGATCAGAGAAGTGTCTTAAATCCCTCTGGCCTCTGCATGCAAATGCATGGGTAGGGAACAAGACTGGAGCTAGGAGACACCTGAACAGAGGAGTTAGGGAAGATGGGATAGGTATGCAAGCAGAACCGATGAAACTTAGGGATGGAGTGGATGTAGGGAGGAAAGGAGAGATGTTTTGGTCAGCACAGAGTATTATAATCTTAATATTACAAATATGTTACTATAAATCCCACTATCCCTTACATTCTCTCTGTCTTAGTCCATTTGGGCTGCTAACAAAATACCACAGACTGGGTGGCTTATAAAAAAACAGAATTCTATTTATCATAGTTTTGGAGACTGAGAAGTCCAAGATCAAAGTGCCAGCATGGTCAGGTGAGAGTCCTCTTCTTGGTTTACAGAAGGCCATCTTTCCATCATGTCCTCACGTGGTAGAAGGGCAGAGTGATCTCTCTGGGGTCTCTTTTGTAAGGGCACTGGATCCCATTCATAGGGCCATGACTGAAAAGAGGGGTCCTAAATATTCAGGTGGGCACAGGAATTACCAAAATCTGAGTTGTTGCTGCTCATGTGACCTTATTACCACTCTCAGGCCAGGTCAGGAGAAACGTGGCTTACAGAAAGTATGTGGATCCTTTAATTAACTAAAAAAAAAAATTCATCTAATATGCTTTACTGAATTAACAGTGACTCTGTATCATTATGCCTCTTCTAAATATCTGAAAGGATACTAAAAGATACTAAAAGGATAATTACTATTGAATGAAATATGATGCATATTTTCTGCCTGATGCTCCAGAGCTACTCTCCCCCTCTCTACCCTGCCCTGTGCCCTAAAAGGCTGATCTCTATGGATGGGAATCAAAGCCTTCTTCAGCCTCTAGCTTTCAGCAGGTTTTGACCAATGGGAAGCACCAGCATGTGAAATAATGGAGATGGTGGGGTCAGAGTATTTATTTCCCCAGGTCCCTCCCCCTGAGGAACCATAGATGTGTGCATTTCTGTAGTTGAGGGGTCTCCTCCATTCAGCTATTCTCTTCTGAACTTGTGTCTTCCCATTACTCTTTCAGACCCAGGGATGTTATATTCGTTAGGGCCATAACACAGTACCACAGACTGGGTGGCTTAAACAACAGCTATTTATTTCCCCAGTCTCCTCTTTTAAGGACACAATTATAGGGTTAGGGTCCACCCTACTGACCTCATTGTAGCTTAGTTTTGAGGGTCTTTAAAGACCCTATCTCCAAATACAGCCACATTTTGAGGTACTGGCGTTTGGATTCCAATTTAACTTTGGGGTGATGCAATCTAGCCCATAACAGATGGGAACCGCTAGCCTCAGGGATACTATGCCATCCTGAGTTGTTTTCCTAAATCCTGCCTGCATCTTTGTAAAAGTTATTCTCAACTACCCAGTTTGGGTATACCAGCTGCTTCCTGCCCAAATTGACTGATACATAGAAGCTCGCCAAAATAGTATGCATTACAAAAGGGGCCGCGCTTCAAATGGTTGGGAACCACTATATGTCTGGCAGAAACTGCTTTCATACTTAAGCATTAAAACTTACAGATGCTTTTCTCTTCTGAGTATTTTAGTCAAGAGATCATTAGAATTCTATTTTCCTTTCTCAACAAGTTACATTTTTATGTGGGATGACTTGAGGCATATATAGACTGCTGAAAGGAGAGACAAAGTGGTACTACAGGGTATCATCAAGTATGCTTCCCAATCCTCTAATTGTCCGACTTAAGGCTTCAAAATGAGAAAGGCGCTTCCCTATTGAGGCCCCAAAGATCCTTGCAGTCATCACTACTCCCAGAGGGCTTTCTAGCTCTGGCCCCTGGAAAATCCACCCTATCCCAGCGCTGGAAGATACCGTTTGGTCCAGCTGCCACCCATAATGGACTACTCAGGTGAAGCTCAAGTTCCTCCCTTTGTTCTGAACCAACCTGTGGACATTTTGTTTCTTCAAGGGCTCCAAGCTAAAATTTTCACCTGGCTCAAAATCCTCCTTACCTCTTTGATCTGAGGACAGATATTAAATGACTCACTACGTAATCAAGACATTGACATAGGCCTACTATATACAAGGGGTGTGGGTGTGTGTGTGAGGTGGAGAGGAGGAACAGAAATAAGTAAGCCCACTCCCCATTCTTTACGTGCTAACAGCCGTGCCAGATGAGCAAGAGAAGTCACAATGCCTGCCGCGCGCTGCGACTGAAATGTGCGGCGCTCAAGCTAGGGCCCTTCTCCAAGCTTACTTTCTCTTTGGGGGTTCAAGTTAATGTAAGCATCTACTTTCGCCCTGCGCTGGCCTCAAGCCACACAGCTGGTCAGGAGCCAAGAAAACATCCACACCAGGCTCGCGGAAGATTGACGCAGTCGCATCAACGCCCTCAATAGACGTAGCCGGGACTGTCAGTTCCAAAGGCTCCCTGCAGCCCAGCGCGTGCGCCTTAGGCCCCACCCGGGCAAATCCGCAGGGTCACTGGTGGGGGCGGTGCTTCCGGGGGGAGGGGCTTGTTGGGGAGACACGCATGCGCCGTTGCCGGTCCCACCACAGAGTCCACGGCTGCCTGCTGCGGCGGCGTCTGTTTCCGGACGCGCTGCCTCGCGGCTCCGTTGGGTGAGTGTTCGAGCTGCCGGGTTGAAAGTCAGGCAGGGTATGTCTGAGCCGCGCTTGGGCTCCCCAGGCAGCCGCACACTGTCTTGGGGTCTGGGTCGCCATGGAGGAGCCCTACAGCACTGGGGACCGGGCGCACTTTCCTTGCCGGCCTAGCGCGCCTTCCCTGCCGGCCGGCCCACCTGCGGCCGGAAGTGACGGTGCGGCGCGCGGTCACCTGGCCGGCGGGGGTCCTAGCCATTGGTCGGTGGTGGGTGGGGGGGAGCAGGCCAGCGACGGGATTTCAACTTCGCGACTTTGTATCAGGCCCACGTACGCAGTGTGAGCCCGGCCTTGCTGAATCTTATTTAAAATACTGGAATTGTTTGTTATATGAAAGAGAATCAGGGTAAATACCTGTCAGGCGCGTTGGGCATAGACACAAGTTTGAGTTTGCGAAGGAGGATTAAGCAGTCCGAATGTAAATGCGGTTAACATTTTCCCAAGTAGCGACATCTTCACTGCTCACCTTGTTACAAGCCTCCGTCACTTCTCATCCGTATGTCTACCACCATCTCCTTTCTGCACTGTTTTCTCCAATGCATTACCCATACATTAGCCCAGGTGGGGTTTTACAAACACGATTTGGGTCAAGCCGTCATCACGCTGTTTAAAAACTCGTCAGTCATTCCATTAAGCTTGAGTAAAATCCAGGCTCTTGTTTTCCCAGGTCCTATGTGATCTGACCCTTGCCTACCCTTCCATCTTCACTTCTCTCCCATTCCTCAACAATGCAGGTATTTATACAACAAAACCTCTAAACCAGAATCCAACTAGTCCCACAGAAGTCCCAGGGCTCAAAGGGGAGAACAGTGAAGATACTGTTTTTCCCAGATGACTAAGCCTTACAGTGTCAAAAGATACTCTGTAAGATTTACACAATGAATGGAGTCCTTACCAGCTGCTTTAACTCAGTCATTTATGTCCAGCCTTCTTCCACTTTTCCAAATATACCAGCTCTTACCAACATTAGAAATTACACATTTCTCTGCAAAATGTTCACTCCAGTTTTGGCTTGATTAACTCCTGCTCATCCTTCAGATGCTCAAATACCACTTTATCAGAGACGCCTTCCTGGGCTCATACCTTCCTCTGCAATGTCAGTTTTCCTCTGTTACTTTTTGTAAAGAATCCTATACTTTTCTCTTATAGCAGATACCACCATTACATTTGTGTGTGTAAGTATATTATATATAAGTTACATATAAATAAATATTTATAATTTTCCTTCCACATTCCATTAATACTTTACCATTCCAGTTATCTCCCTTTCACAGCCAAACTCCTTAAGGGGGTAGGCTACCCACTTGTGGCCTCCTTTTCCTCATCTCTTCTTAACCCACCACAGTCTGTTTTTTGTCTGCATTGGTCCACTAAAACTCCTTTACTAAGATAACCAGTGATCTGCTGATTTCCAAACCCACTGGACCCCTTCAGGTTTCTCTATGTGAACTTGCCGTATTTTTCACTTTTAACCATTTCCTCTTCCTCCTTTTCTATTAGAAGTTTTCTCCAAACATCATTATTTTAAACTTGTCTTTGAGCTATAGTACTATTACTTAATTTCTTTTATTGAATTGTCTTGTTTTAAATGAAAAATCCTTGTATACAGATAAGTAAGTACAATGAAAGCAGAATAGTTAAATTCCAGCTATTAAGGCTTTAAGCCAGAACCCTGCCCTGTCTGTTGAAAATGGAGACCAGCTAATAATAGAGTACCAAACTGATCATCTCTCCTGAAAGTAATCAAAAGGCCCAAAAAGGAGGAACTGTCTTTACTGTTCACTTTTAGACTTGTCATACCCTCGAAAAGATCTCTGGTACCTGTCATAGCCTTGGGATCCCTGGGGCTATTCTCTCTGCTGTTGTGTCTGCTTTGTTTTGAGCCCAGATTTGCATTTCTGACTGCTGGTCACATGTCTGCAGTGACCAACCCCTGTCCCTGCCTCTCATCTGCTTCCTTTTTGCAGTTTTCATTTTTATGACTGAATTGACTGGTGATTTAGTTGTCCAGAACAGACTTTTTATTATTTTGGCCTCCTCTCACAACCTTACTTCACTTCAGTGTATATTGAGTATGTCCTGTGCATTGAACGTGGCCAGGTATACATATTAGTTCATACATGTTTCTTGAGCTCCAGACCCAATGCATTCTGCTGTGCCCATTTGGTCTCTTGTCCATTCCTCTTTTACAGACCTGCCCTACTGTGTTACTAGTGACATGCTTCTACTCCACTGGACAGTGAGCCACTTGGGACAGGATGTTGCAAATTTCCTGGCATCTTTGTATACCAGTGGTTGACATGGGGATCGTATCATTTAATAGGAAATGCATGGGGCTGTTTGGGGAAATTTGTTGTCATTTCATAGAAATAGTTTCAGAGCTGAAAGAAACCTTAGCTTACTCACAGATAATCAAAAAAGAGGCTATCTCTTGGTTATTGTGTTGCTTTTTAGTGTGTTTATTAGCTAGAGTTATTCGGCAGTATAGTGGATACATTTTCATTCAGGGAGTTCTTGAATATCTAGAGTGAAATGTGCAAATTCCCTTTTATTCCTCCTTGTTCCTTCTGCTTTCACCTTCCAATTGTTGGCAGCTTTATCACTAGATCACTTAGCATTCCATGCAGTGGAGGTTGCAGATACACATTTTTTTCAACATAGATAGGTTCATATTATGTAACATTTTTTCACTTTATAAGACTTTTATCTCAGTACCACTGAAAATACTTAATGCCTACAGTGAACTATTAAAAACACTATAATAACATCCTTGTGCATAATGTATTTCTCTGAAATAAATACCTAGTCTTGTGCATTTTAAATTTGACATGGCTAGATTACCTTCCAAAAGAGCTTTACTGTTCTATGATCCCCCCAGCATCCTGTGAGGTTGGCTGTCATTGTCTGTGGTGGATATTATCAGCTTTTACATTGTTGCCAACCTGATGGGTGAGAGATTATATTGCACGTTTAAATGGAGTCATTTTTGAGAATATTTTAATTGATCTTTCTCAGGTTCTGATTTGAGTGGTGCTGTTATCTCTTGTTCAGAGTTTCTGTTTATTGGCATAACTGTTCAACCTTAAAGTTTCTAGTGTCAGGTTTGTACAGAAGCTCTCACCTTTCATCACTAAATCTCTGTATCTCAGTTGATCATGCAATTGTAATGTAAGTCATTCGTGCCATAATGCAGTGAAGATGATAACTTGGAATGCAGCAGTTGAATGATGTCAGTTGATTTGGAGAAGACCTGTGGGCATCACTCAGGATTTTGTTGCCGGGTTTCTTTGCTGGCTCCCCAAATGTCCTTTGTTGGTAATTCTGCATTTCTTCTTTCTTTTTTGGTAAATTTTTCTTACTTATTATCAGAACTCAAGAAGATATCTAGCTTGTGCCCTTTTAAGAAAAATAATACTTGGAAACTTGCATAATTAGAGGATGATTGCTTGATCTTTTGAGAAATCAGTCTGCTTTAATGATAAAATATTTAAGAAACTAAGTATCAATTCTGTATAACTAAAAGGCTTATTGAAAAAAGTTTTTTTCTATTAGGCACTGTGTAGAGGATGTCGAATGGGAGAGTCCCCCAATCAAGTCAAACTCTGGAGCAAGACTGTTTACAAAATCTGTGCATCAGTGATAAGGAAGACATGATAATCAAGCAAGAAACTGATGGCAGTGTGGAGGTGGAGGAAGTCCTCCCCTCCTGTTCTGTTCATAGACCATTCAGTTTCACTGAGGGGTGTTCTTCGGAAGTTCTCAAGAGAGGGCCTGCCCTCCTGCACATCGACAGACATCAGATCCAGGCGGTGGACCCAAGTGCGCAGGCTGTTGAACTACAGGGGCTGGGTGTGGATGTCTATGACCAGGATGTGCTGGAGCAGGGTGTGCTTAGGCAGGTGGATAGTGCCATCCATGAAGCCAGCCGCACCGCCCAGCTCGCTGATGCGGAGAAGGAGTATCAGTCAGTCTTGGATGACCTCACGTGAGTGTGGACCATCTTCTCTCTGGTAGCAGAACTTGTGCTTAACATGTGATGAAGAAATTCAGGTAATACCTGTGGTATCCAGACATTTAGGATATTTACAGACCCTCTCATTTGGAAGATGGAGTTAAGGGCAGTCCTGAGCCTCATGTTTGAATCTGAGCCTCTTTCCCTCAGGAGCAGCATTGTACACAGTAGTTATGGTCTCAGTCCATCTCATAACAGCTTGTTCATGCATAGTGTCCTGGAGAGAAGTGCAGTTCTGAGGGCGCCAGAACTCAAGCACGTACATTAAGTGGTTCTCAGAAGTGTACCTAATGTTCTGATGTGTCTACCCAAGATACCAGGGACACATCTGCCCCCTCACATTTTTCTTTGTCCAGTAGTTTCCCGTTTCTTATCCCTAAACTGAGTGTCAGTCTTTTGGTAATTTTTCACATTGGCATTTCTAGAAATAGTGAGAAGCCACTTCTTACTCTTCCTTTCTTCCATCCTACGTGTGATGCTATAAGGAAATATGAAGTCCTGTGGAGACTTACTTGTGTTTTCAAGGAGAAACAGACTGGGGCCTTGTTGAACATAGCACATTGGGGCAGGAGGAGGATCTGGTCTTGGGCTAGAAGTGGGGTGGAGGATGAGCTCACTCCCCACAGCCAGTCTGCTCTCCTTTGGCCAGTGTTCTAGGCAGTCAGGGAAGAACTAGAAGAGGAAGATTGGGTGGAGGGATGGGGATAGCTGGGGGAGGGGAGAAGAGGGTGGAACTCACGTTGTTGGCTACACAGTGGGGGGCTATAGTACAGGTGGCTGTTGGACTGAAAGGACATTTTTTGCTAACAGTTTCCTGGTGTGTTTTTTTGGCTTCTTGAGGAGCAGGTGTTCTCAAATAGTTGTAGCCTGACCTTCAGATTTGAGGACTTCTTGAACACATCTTTTACATTTGACCTTGGAAATGGGGCCACTGCTTGCAGAGGTGACAGAGCAGAGTGCTGCAGTATAGGCATACTGACAGTAGATGGATGGTGACCCATGGTGCTAGACCTCCAGTAACTTGCACTGATAACAGCTGGTATTCTGAAATCCACAAGGGATACAAGCAGCAAATTACACAGTGTCAAGACTGATTTTGTTTGTTGAAAAGTGGGAGTTACAATTCTGTGGTGTTTATTTTAGGAGCAATGAATTATAAAGTAATTTTTATTCTTTGCACTACAAAGTATAATGCTATAGCAAGTAAGTCTTCCAGTCATGTGAAAGAAAACTATTGTCACAAATGTCTTATATAAGAAAATGTTTAAGCATCTTTAGTACTTTTCCAAACTTTGGGAGACTTCCATAATGAGCTTTAAAAACCCATGTACAGGTTATTGATAATGGCGGAAGCTATATGTTTGGAGCAGGGGGCATATGGGAAATCTTATACCTTCCTCTCAGTTTCACTGTGCTGTATATAAAGTCTAAAAAAGTATGCATTTTTTATATAAAAGGACAACTTATTGCACATTGTTTTAGTATGGTCTCTTGAATAAAGTAGATACTTCAGAATGCTTGTAGAATGAATGAATCAGCTTAACAATGGGACTGAGCTGATTTATAAATCAGCCATATCAAAGGAAAACACTAGTCAATATCTGAAACTTCTAACAACCTTTCAAATTCTATTTGTGGGCAACAAGAATGTGCATTCTGGTTTAGTTTCTTTTATCTGTCAGTTAGTAAGAAGTAAAAGAGACATGTTTTTAGCATTTATTTACATTATACTATAAAAAAATGTTAACAGAGTGGAAAATAGACATTTTATCTTGTTTTTCAGGTCATGTACGACATCCCTAAGTCAAATCAATAAAATTATCGAACAGCTTAGCTCTGAAGCTACCACCAACAGAGACGTCAACAGGAAATTAGATTCTGTAAAACGACAGAAGTATAATAAGGTGATTCTAAATAACACATTAAGTATTGCATTTTTTTAAAAAGTCATCATTTAGGCTCATATATTTAGGAAGTATTCTGAAAAGTACTTTTAGATGTGAAGCAAATATCTATAATAGAAAAATTTGAGCTCCTTTTGTATGTGTAATTTTTCAGAAAAATTTGAGTTGCTTTTGTGTGTTTAATTTTTCCCCTTAACGTCCTCTGTTAAAGAGTATTTTAAAAAATATACACATACATAACATATGCATGAACATGCATTTGAGGAAAAGTTCCCTTTTTGGCTTTGTGTGCCTTCTTAGTCATGCTTACCTTCATAGTCTTCCTTGCCTCACCATTTCTTTATTCCCCAGCTTATACTACTGTTTAGCATGCCAGCCTCTCATTTATTCTTTGTTTTGTGTGAACTTTCTTTTTCTGCTCCTTAGGTCCTGCTTGCACTAATTGCCTGTACTCTGTTCCCTGCTGATATAGCCATCACCCCTCACAGATTTACCCTCATTGTTCAGTCATCACCCAGCCACACTGATTGGGTCTGCACTTAGGATTATAGAACTTAAGGGTAGGGTATATCTTTTAGTTGTGACATTGTTTTTAATGAGTTTGGAAACATTTTTTAGAATTTATGTGCATTATATGAAATATTGGGGTAGAAAGGGACAGCTAGTTTTGATCGTTTTATTTCTGCCATCCAGAATGACTAATATAGATCCTGTGCTTGCAGTTAATTCACTGCAGTGAGTAGAGTCCTTGTGTCTCTCATTTAAGCTCTGTAAGTGGGTATCAACAGACATAGTTTATTGTTTTGCTTTCCACTCACCAGTCCATTAACTTTACCTCTCCATCTTCTCACACTTAGCTCCAGAATAGCAGCCCGAGGTCAGAGAATAGAAGCCCAAGGTCAGAGCTAGCGGCGGCTTGAGGTAACCAGGGTCTCCCCAGAGTAGAGAGGGAACATCTGGCCTCTTATGGGAGCATGTGAATTACTGTGGAGAGACCTTCTCCGACCTTGGGCTCTGGTAGGCTAGGATTTCAAGGAGCAGAGAGGACCAAACTTCAGGCCACTTTAGGTACTAGTCTAACTCAAGTATATATTCCTTTCTTTCTTTAGCAGCTCTGATGGTTAGAGATAGACTATTCAGAGAGAAAGCCTGTTTGAAATGAGGTTTTTGCTTGAGAGAAAGACAAGATAAAATGAATTATAAGTCATTACAACATGGCATGTACATTCGTGGTTTCCCCTCACCCCATACTCATATGTGGTGTTTAAACATTCTTGGAAAGAATAATCAGGTACAATAGTCCTAGTTAATTGGGGAGGCCCTAGGAATGGTCTCATATTTGGACTCTGGTGATACAGAGGGAGACAAGACAGAGGGGCTTGGGGTAAGTAGTGTAAAAGTGTATATATATCAAAATAGATTTTCCTTTTAAAATTTTGTGATTGGGTAGAATACTCTAAAAGACAGTTATAAGTAGGTAAGTTTTCAAAGGGGACTGACTTTTTCAACTGTTTGAATATTTGTGTTTATATTTCTTATTCCTACAGCCTATTAACCTCATAGCCCATTGACTGGCAAGGTCAGAAACGGAGAAGTTTAGTGATACCCAGTGTGTAATGGGGAAACCAAGTAGAGCAGCTCCACTTCCCAAGTCAACAGAGAGTCACTACATGTGGAATTAAGCATTTAGGCACATGAAAAGCTGTCCTGCTCAGTCAGGAGAGTGGGTAGGACAGGCATGCCTGTTGCTGGAAATGCTTTGAGACCTACTTCCTCCCAGAAAAGTGGTAGTTGCTCAAATAAGGTTCTCTATAGTAATAGTAATGTATGTAGTTTCTGTTTTGTTTTCATTTGGCTGTTGATTAAAGTTGTCAAATTTTGTAATGCTGTCTTTTGTATTTAACAGTAAATTGCTTCATTGTTTTTTTCTATATTCAATATTTACCATTTTAAGGAGCAACAGCTAAAGAAGATCACAGCAAAACAAAAACGTCTCCAGGCCATCCTTGGAGGAGCTGAGGTAAAAGTTGAACTGGATCATGCCAGGCTGGAGGAAGAGGATGCAGGTGAGGATATTGCAGTGTCTCTTTGTTCTCGAATTGATGCCTGATGGCTGTAGTCAGAGGCAGGTATCTCTTTGGTCTTGGCCTTGGTTTTGAGAAAAATACATTTCTTTGCCTTAGTGTTAAAACAGATTTGGGAAAATTTTACAAATTTATCTACACCTGTAGAACCAAGTCTCTTTTATGTCATACTGGGTTTTTAGAGAATGAAAGTAAATTTTTAACTTGGTCTACTGGGGGCTGCTGGTGCACATTTAGTTTTATGTTTAATAAAATGGGAATCTTAAAATTCTTGTATAATTTCATAAGGACACTTAACATCTTGAATGAATTATATTTTGTAAGCCTGGCATCATCAGTCAGCATTCATAGAATGGCTTTCCATGTATCTTTTTGGGACTTACTTGGCAGGCTTTCCTAACATCAGCTCTGGGTTGAAGAAAAGACATTTTCATTCAGGATATACCATGGCCATGATTTTGTTCATATTACTGCCTTGAATGGACATCTTTTGGAAAACCTTTTGGGAAAATGCATAAGATCTGAAACAAAGTATCTGTGTTGATAAAGATAATTTAGAAATTGTTGATAGTTGCTCATTCATTTAATATGGGGCTTCATAGCATTTAAGCTCTTCAAGCAAATATTTCTACTAGCTGCAGAAGTTATTCAATAAGACATGAGAATTATGAAAAATTGAGGTGATAGAAAAAAATATTGGAGATATATGATTTTTTGAAGCTCAGTGTCTGAGAATTAGTTCATTGGGCCTATAACCAATGCTTTATGCTGCTGAGTTACCGTATTCCTCATTGGTGAGAGACTTTTGTTCTTGTCTGACTGCCTAAAACCTGCTGATTTCACCTCTGATTGCTTCTTTGGTAAAACTTTGCCCAGGATTAATGATTATTTCCCCAAATCCAAAAGCCGCCTTTCACCCTTGCTTCACTTGGCCTGCTTATAGCAGCTGATATATCCATGCCTTCTGGAATCCCAGTGTCTCCTAGTTCTCTTTCAGCCCTCTGACCATTTCTGTTTAGTTATTTTTGGTCAGCTTTTCTGGCCTTACCTTAAATGTTGATTATTTGCAAGATTTCTTGCTGAGCTCTCTTCTTGTTATACTATGTCACCCACTCCTCATGGCTTTGTGGCCACTTAGGTTCTAGTATCTTGTAAGTCTGTAGACCTATGGCCTTGTCCTTTTTCTGAGCTCTTGGTTCTTACTACATCTTTCCATTAGGTGCCAGCTGACATTTAAGACTCCAGGTCTCTTATTTCCCTCCCTTCTGCAGCCTTTCTTGGTCTCTGGTGTCTTTTGCCCTATCTGGGGAGACAGTAGAGCAGCACAGTGTCTAGAAGCATAAGCTTTGTGCCTCCCAGCTAGGTGTTGCCTAAGTATAGACCGGGGCTACATCCTTAACCTTTTTCAAGTCTGTTTTGAACCCATGAGATAGGTGTAAGTATTGTAAACCTTCATTTCTCTGCTCACATGCCCCCCTGAGGTTTTCTTTCCCTTCTCCACATAATGATCCATTCGTAAGTTGTGAGAAATATCTGATAAAGAATCCTTTCCTGGAAGCAGGTGAAATTAGGATAAATTAAAAATAAAACAAAACTTTGCAGTGGTTGGCTTTGCTCTTCTGTGGAATGAAATGAGGTGCTTGCTATTACCTTTTCTATTCAACATTGTATTGGACACCGTAGTGATGGAAGAAAATAAAAAGTAAGCATTGAAAAGAAGAAATAAAGCCATCATTGTTCACAGAATACATGATTTTTTATGTAGAAAATCTGAATCTGTGGACCATCTGTTGGAATTAATATATGAATTTAACAATATCATTGACCACAAAGTCAATGATGAATCATACTTCTATATATTAGCAAAACAAAAATAAAATTTAGTGAAGATGCCAATTATAATAAAAATCAAATACCTAGAAAAAAATCTTAGCAAAAAATGTAGTTTACTGTAGTATTTTCTACATGAAAAACTACAAAGTGTCATTGAAAAGTTTCTCACAACTTATGAATGGATCATTATGTGGAGAAGGGAAAGAAAACCTCAGGGGAACATGTGAGCAGAGAAATGAAGGTTTACATTGAAAAATTAAATAAATGGGAAGATACACCATGGTCATGGATCAGAAAGTATTATAATGTAAGTTCTGCCCATCTATAGTTTTAGTGCGACCCCAATATAAATTTCAGGGGGTGGTTTGAGGGAGAAGAGTGAGGGTGGGAAATGTAGGCTGAGGGGGATTCTAAAATTTATATAAAAATGCTCTGGAAAAAAAAAATGCTCTGGATCAAGTATAGCCAAGGCAGTCTTGAAGAACTGAACATCAAGACCTATAATCAAGGTACAGTAACTAAGACAGTGTGGCATTGGTATAAGGATAAACAGTAGATCAGTGGAACAGAATAGGTGTGGCAAACAGACCCATCCATATTTGGTCACTTGATTTATAACAGATGTGGCAATATAGTGCTGTGGAGAAGAATCATCTTTTCACTTAAGTGGTACTGGGTTAATACACATGAAGATAAAATGAATCTTGGCTCACTACACTATGTACAAAAATAAATTCGTAATGGATTGTGGATGTAAATGTGAGTGGTAAACCAGAGCTTTTAGAATATAACATAAGAAATCATTTTTAATGACCTTGGAGCAGAGACTTAACAAGAGTCAAAAACTCTAAAGGGAAATGTTTGATAAATCAACTGTATTACAACTGAGAACTTGTTTTCATCAAAAGATTGAGTTAAGATAGTGAGAAGCAAGCTACAGAGTGGGAGAAGGTACTTGGAATAAATGTGTCAATCACAGAACTTGAATCCAGAATGTATAAAGAAATCATAGAAATCATTTTATGATTACCTTTAAAAAGGTAGATTGCTAATGAGAAAGATGGGCAAAAACTGAAATGTTCTCTTCAAAAGAGGCTATCCAAAAGATCAATAAATCTATGAAGAGGTACCCTAGTTCATTAGTCATCAGGAAATTACAAATTACAGCCACAAGGTGGTACCTCTACATACCTCCTGGAATAGCTAAAATTGAATGGCAAGAATGTGGACTAGTTGAAACTCTCAGACACTGTTGTTGGAACTTAAAATTGGTGGGGACATTTTGGAAACCTTGGCAATGTCTACTAAAACTTAACATATGTAAATAATTATATATATCTAACCAAAGCATGTGTACCAAAATGTTTATAGCAATGTAGTCAAGACATGGAAACTCCCTAAATGTCCATTAACAGTAAAAAGGAAAAACTATAGTATAATAGTTACAGAATACTAATAGCAGTGAGAGTCAACAAACTGCAAATTGCTGTGCAAGTGTGAATCTCTTAAGCATAATGTTGAGCAAAAGAAGCCAGGCAGAAGAATACAAATGTTTCCATTTACACAAAGTTAAGAGCCAGGCACAACCTATATATAGTGTTAATGTGTTAGCTGTTATTTGGGGGCGGGGCTGGGGCCTGGAGACGCCCACTAAGGGTGCATCTAGGGGATGCTAGTAGTTTCCGCTTCTCGATCTGGATGCCAGTGATTGGGCATGTTTTTCCTGAAAACTCACTGAGCTGTACACTTGGTGTTTGTACACTTTCTGATGTGTATTTTTCTTGAGTGCAAGTTTAATGAAAGACTGGTTGAGGTATTAGTGGGCTATAAGAAATGTAGGTTTTACAAAATGGGTTCCTTCCTATTAAGCCTTACTTCTTTTGGTATTTGGTGTTTTGTCTACAGGTAAAGTTAATAATTTCAGCTAATAAAAGGATGATGATTTCTTGTTGACTTCATAGTATTATGGTGTTACTTCCAATTTCATTTCCTCTCTTCAGTCAGCTAACTTCACACATCTAACTTGGTGCTGTCCAGTAAATCTTTTTCCAAAGACATAAATATCGCCTGTGTTGTCCATTCATTATGGTAGCCATTAGCCACATGTAGCTATTGAGCACCTTAAACATGGCAAGTACATCTGAGGAACTGAATTTTCAACTTAAATTTAAATAGCCACATGGTGACTATCCTATTGGGTAGTGCAGAGCTAATGGTTGCCTACTTGGTGCTTGCTGATTCTTTAGATGTCTGTTTTCAGTTTTACTGTCGAATTTAAGTCCAGCTGCATGCTTGTATTGGCAATGACTTGGAAACTTGGGAGATTCTTCCTCATGGGCTACTTGTTAATTGATAAAGAAACACAGTTAAATTTGTCTGGGTGTTGGCCTATGAATAGGTCTGCCTTTGGATGTACAGTGTATTTGTAATGTATTTTGGACATTATCAAGAAATCACCTTTTGAACAGGAGTATATTAAATGTGACATGAATGCTATGCTAAATTTTATTCTTCGTGCATAATATGTTTTAGTACATCAGTGGTACTTTTTTTTAATGATTATTTTGTAGGTGCTTCCTAGTTATTAAATAAGTGAATATTTCTATTGTGCTTCTGGAAAGTTTTGTGCTGGTGCCCAATACACTGTCGTCCCTCTTTCAGAACCGGGGCCATCCTGTCTCGGCAGCATGCTTATGCCTGCTCAGGAGACTGCTTGGGAAGAGCTTGTCCGCACTGGCCAGATGACACCTTTTGGTACCCATATCCCTCAGAAACAGGAAAAAAAGCCTAGGAAAATAATGCTCAATGAAGCCTCAGGCTTTGAAAAGTATTTGGCAGACCAAGCAAAACTGTCTTTTGAAAGGAAGAAGCAAGCTTGTAATAAAAGAGCAGCTAAAAAAGCTTCAGCCTTGGTCATATCTGAGCTGAGCCCAACACTCAATGAAAACAAACCACACGAAAGAAGCAAAGTTCTCTCAAAAACAGATAAACGCTTGAAAAAGCACATCAAGAAACTCCAGAAGAGAGCTCTTCAGTTCCAGGGGAAAGTGAGATTGCTAAAGGGAAAGAAACCTTGGGAGTCTGGTGTGAGGCCAAAGGCAGAGGGGGACTCTGAGGGTGAAGTGTCTGAATACTTACCCACGGAGGAGGAGTGGGAGGAGGCTGCAGGACCCCACCTGTCCGGAGAAGGCACCAACTGTGAACTGAAGCTTGGGCTCAAGCCCCGAAAATGGCAGAAGAAAGTCACAGTGCAGGAGTTTGATGATGACTTTTTCCCAAATTCTGGGGATGAAGCTGAAACTGCAGGAAGAGGAAGAGGAGGTAGTTGGAAAGTAGTGCGATGCCGAGATGACGGAGATGAAGATTATTATAAGCAACGGTTAAGGTCAGTAAACAGATTGTACTGCTTGCTTTATCTTGGGCTTCAGGTTTATTAAATAGGAATTCTAGATCCACTTATAATGGACCCCTGTTTATGCAAAGGTTAGACTTTCTACAAGCCTCAGCCTGCCTAGTACCAGAGAGACCCTGAGTCCTCAGTGGAGCTGACTCAGAATGCTTCCAGATCTTCAGATTTAGGGACAAGTCTAGGAAGCACAGTTTAGGGGAAGGGCTGGGACAAGAGGCATGCAGAGGACAGAAACATGAAGTGGGTGCCTTTACACCTAGAAGGGTTTCCCTGCAACAAGTTTTGGGGGAGGAAAAGGTTGGCTTATGTAGTGTATGCTGGGGTGGTGTTTTTTCTTCTGAAGAAGGATATAATTTTAGAGGACTTTTCTTCAAAAAGCTGAAATTTAAGCTTCAGTGTATCAAAGAATAAGCTTGTTTTCTTAAACCCCTCCTTCCTTGTCTTGAGAAAGTAGTCATCTACAGAAATACCACTGTAATGTTGCCAGAAATGTACTTCCTGTGCACAGCATACCCTTCCTTTTCACTGCCATTTTTATGCTAATGACTGGCTTTGAGTTTATTTCCATGACTATCAGTATATTATGCAAAGAAGGTATCAAGGAAGTTGAGCACTTTGATTTGTGAAGTAACCACTGTGTGTTGCCACCCATTTTCTGTGAGCCCAGAGAAATGGTCTGTACGCTGCAGGTGTCTGCTGTGTTTCCCTGAGCACAACATGGCAGATCTCAGGGCTCACACATTAGCTTACTAAGAGCACTGAGAAACTCAAAGGGAGAAAGGCAGTCTGTTGAACAGATTACTTTTTAAATATTTGCTCCCTGGATGGCTTTTTCCCAATCCTCAACAGTTTTTCTTATTTCTCAATGTAGGGAGACTTAATTGATTATATTTCTTGGAGCATTCTGGCTTTCATGGATGAAGATTGATCTGATATTTTTTCTTCTCAGAACAGGTGACTCAGAACAGCTGATAATCCACATCTAGACTGCCACATATATTTCCCATCCTTTGAAAGTAGATATATATTCTTTTCACACAGAATTTGAGTGACCTAAATACAGTTCTTCAGAGCTTTTATATTCACCTTATGTAGTAATATATAGTTGAGGAGTGGCTTGAAGCTCTAATTGCAGCTTTCAAGTTACTTTGTGCATTTAGTATCTGTAGAGTTGTTGGAGGGATATATGACAATACTCTTGAACAGTGAGCAGTATCAGTCGTTCTTAACTACTCTAGAGAATTATAAAAGTGTTAATCTCAACATATTGATTATAAGTGGAGCAATATATTCCCATTAACTTGGGTCAGTATAAATATATTTACAATATATCAGTATTTTCATCAAAGTAATTTATTTTGATTGAATTTCAAATAGGGGTTTAATTTAAATTCATGGCAATAAGTTTTTATTAATGTCAAGATTGTTAAACAACTTATTATTTCCAAAGCCATAGCATACACCAGTTTTTTGCTAAAGTTACAGTAAAATCTCAAATGAATTTCAGAAATATCAATAACTCTAATTGCCAACAAAATATAGCTCTTAAAATTTTATAGCTGTAGTTATTAAGGCTGTTAAACTGCAGATACCACATTGAGATGTTTGTGCTCTTTGGATTAGGGGATGTTAAAAGAAAATGCTCAGGTTTGAAAAGCAACATTTTAACAAAAGTTTTAACATTTTAGAACTGCTAGTCAGTCTTTATATTTTGTTACTTTTTTTGGTGGTCTTTGTAGAAAGATTGAAATTGTAATGGTATTCCCTTGAGTGAAGAACAAGGCTTTAGGATTTCTTAGCATTGGTTTGATGATGGTTGCTTAGAGTAAAGCCCCATATGGTTTGCAACCTAGAAAGTAGACTTTTTCTTAATGGTTAGAATTTAGGAATATGTACCCAGTCTAGGCACCTTTTATGACTTAAATATGTATTGCCTATAGCCCCATTAACTATAATTCTCCTTCAGACTCTTCGAAGTGGAAGTGAATGATTCCTAGAGATCCCAACCCTTTTATTCTTTCAACTTGAGAGTCACAGGTCTTTCATTAGCTCTAGGTTAATCCTAACAAGGTGTCTTTGGTTTTAGCTGTTGCTCAGTGAGAATTTCCTCTCAAGCCTTTTCTACAGCTTAACCTTTTCTGGAGCTGGATAATAGCACTTATGATCTGATTTAGTCCAAAATCTTCTTTGAAGTTCTTTGAAGTTCTATCTCTTTTTAAAACTGCCTATGTATTTTGTCTTTCCCCCATTTTTATCTTTATTCTCTCTATTAAATTGCATTTGGGGGTTGTTTCTTCAGTGGTCTTTCATTTTCATACCTCTGATAATGTACTAGGATGGATGAGCCACTTGTTAGAAGTAAATATTCTGTTGGTTCTTATTCATCTCAACTGTGTTCAGATCTTAAAAAACATCCATTTTTTTTTTAATGTTAATTTTTTGGTACCCAAGTTTCCATTAGGGTGTGGCTCTCAATTGTGAGGTTTGGCTCTTTCTAAAATACATTGCTGCTTTAGAAAGCTAGGGTCTGAAGGCTCCAAGAGCCAAATGAAGATTTAATAGAAATAGCACACATTCAGTGTTTGAGTGATAGGTGTTCCTGGTGAGCACTTACATGTTACTTACCTCATTCAGTCTGTACAGCCAGGACAACCGAGAATAACCTAGAAGGACAAACATTTTATATGTGCACCTTTTGTCTCACTGTGATCAAAGACTAGCGGTTTTGTTATCTCAGTGTTGTTGATTCATTTCCCAGTTGAGTTATGAGGTCAACTTCCATTGTTTTGTCTTTGCTCTCCTTGTGTGAATGTGTGTCTGCATTCTAGGACTGGCTTCAAGAGTTTCTGGCAAAGAAGTAGCAGTCTTTGGGGGCATGAGCACAAATAGGACCTAACCAAAGTGAAAGGAATAATTAATTCAGATTGAGGCATTTGGGGAAGACTTTGTGGAGGAGGTTCATCCCAGCACAGGGGTCTTTTGGGTAGTTGAGGTATGTTGATAAGGATCTTAGGATGCAGGTTAAAAACTTGCCACATATGCCCCACAACTTCAGGTGCATTTTTATTTTTTTATTTATTTATTTAATTTATTTCTAATCTTTTTTTTTAACTTATTTTTATTAAGGTGTGATTGATATACACTCTTATGAAGGTTTCACATGAAAAACAATGTGGTTACTACATTTACCCATATTATCAAGTCCCCACCCATACTCCAATGCAGTCACTGTCCATCAGTGTAGAAAGAAGCCACATATCCACTACGTGCCTTCTCTGTGCCTCACTGTTCTCCCCGTGATCCCCCACATCATGTGTACTAAACATAATACCCCTTAATCCCCTTCTCCCTCCCTCGCAACCCGCCCTCCCACACCCCTCCTCTTTGATAACCAATAGTTCATTCTTGGAGTCTCTGAGTCTGCTGCCATTTCGTTCCTTCAGTTTTGCTTCATTGTTATACTCTACAAATGAGGGAAATCATTTGGCATGTGTCTTTCTCCGCCTGGCTTATTTCACTGAGCATAATGTCCTCCAGCTCCATCCATGTGGTTGCAAGTGGTAGAATCTGTTTCTTTCTTACTGCCGAATAGTATTCCATTGTGTATATGTACCACATCTTCTTTATCCATTCATCTACTGATGGACACTTAGGTTTCTTCCATATCTTGGATATTGTAAAAAGTGCTGCGATAAACATAGGGGTGCATATGTCGTTTTGAATCTGAGAAGTTGAAATCTTTGGGTAAATTCCAAGGAGTGGGATTCCTGGGTTAAATGGTATTTCTGTGTTTAGTTTTTGAGGAACCTCCATATTGCTTTCCACAGTGGTTGAACTAGCTTACATTCCCACCAGCAGTGTAGGAGGGTTCCCCTTTCTCCACATCCTCGCCAGCATTTGTTGTTCTTAGTCTTTTTGATGCTGGCCATCCTTACTGGTGTGAGGTGATATCTCATTGTGGTTTTAATTTGCATTTCCCTGATGATTAGTGATGTGGAGCATCTTTTCATGTATCTGTTGGACATCTGAATTTCTTTGGAGAACTGTTTCTTCATATCCTCTGCCCATTTGTTAATCAGGTTATTTGCTTTTTGGGTATTGAGGCGTGTAAATTGTTTATATATTTTAGATGTTATCCCCTTGCAGGTGCATTTTTGAAAAGGAAATACTTGCTTTGCTTTAGAAGCACATTATTCCCTCAGGGGTCTTGTTTGGATTGCCTCGGATGTGGGTGTGGTGGCCATGGTCTGCAGGAGGCCAGGTTCCTAAGCTGTCCACCTGAGGACAGAGAAAGCACAAGATCTCGCCTTACCAGCTGTTTCCCATCTTGGGCAGCGGCAGGGCAGTTGTGAGGCACGGGGAGAGTGCCACAGCCCATTCATGATGTCTGTCACGGACACAGAGGAATGGTGGGGAGCAGCACTCGTGCCAGCTATTTGCCAACCAAAAAATTGTTACCAGCTCTTGTCTGTTTCCCCAGCAGCAGTCAGCACTGCTTGGTCAGACTGGGGAGTAAGCGGGTTACATCCCGAGTGAGAGGATGCACTTCCAAATAAACTTTGTCTACTGCTGGCATGACTAGGTTTAGCATTTATAATTCGACCTAAGCCTGTATGCTGAAGCTCCTCTGTTTCTATTTGCCAGCCATTATTGTTTAAGTTGCTAACTAAACAGCCTGTATTTCTTTAGCAATGAGCAGAAACTGATGCAAAGGTTCTCAGCCCACAAGCTGATTCTGCAAAATCACCTGCAAGCCCTGTCTTTGGAGGTACTGATTCATGAAGTCCAGCATGGGGCTACCACCCAGTAATTTTAAAAAGCTTTCCCAGGTGATTCTTATGGACTGTCAAGTTTGGGAACTACTTGAAGAAAAGTTGATTTTGTATAGACTTTTCCTTTTAGAGGCTCTAGCTTTTGGCAGATTCTGTTATTATATAGGTTCTCTAAAACCGTCTTATGTACTCTGCATAATTGTG